AAAAAAAAAAAAAAAAAGTTAAATAGTTTCTTTTTACAGAACTAAATTTGAGTAAATGATTTCTTTTTAGCTTAGATGTGCTTTTACCAAACTGAACAGTATATCACACATGTTACCTTCAATGGCTGTAGGGAAGGTTGAAAAATATGATGATTCCTTCTGTTTTTACAGTTCCTGGCTTTGATAAATCCTGTCATTTAGCAATAATATTAAAGGAAACGTGCCTCAGTGTTCAGAGGGTTTGTACTTTTTAAAGAATCTGATTTGAAGCTTTTTAAGACTCATTAAGGTGACAAAAGTACTAACGTTACTGTATTTTAATGACACCTACCAATGCAGGTGACGAAGGAAAGTTCAGTTCTCATAAACTATATTTAAAGCAGAACAGGTCGACATCTTGTCAGACACAAAGACTCATCCGTCACAGGACAACATGCAGCAGTAGCATGAAACACCAACACATAAACCAAATGCTCTGAACAGTCAGATGAAAACTGAATGACAGGTTACATTTGTGTTGGCGTGTTGACCATCTTCTGCAGGTGATGATTAACCGTGCACACTGCTGACTCGCTGACTAACTAGACGTTTTATATTTCTATGACAGCAGCTGATTCAGACAGTTTACAGGTGATTCTCTTAATTCTTCCCATAAATTCTTACATAAACGTCCCTCCACGTGATGCATAAAGCACAAAATAGTGCTGAGGGCAGGCTCAGTGCGAGCATCTGACGATGTGATTATGACTCACTATGAGGTCCGTGAGGTAGTCCTTCTCATAACTGTCACCGTGCTTCTCCTCTTTCCCGTTGACTGACAGTGTGTAATTGTAGTATTGTGAGTTTCCCACCTGCAAATCAAACGACAAAGACTGTGAAGGCAGAGACACTTGAAGCAACTATATTTGTGTATGACTTAACAAGAGACTCACCAGTGCATGCCATTGGTCCCAGCCAGGTGGAACATAGCTGACGTCTCCGGCTTCTTTCTTGCCATACTGATGGCAGAACAGTCAGTTGTGATCAGCACAAAATGTGCAACAGAAGTCAGTAGCTCTATGAGACTTTATTTAGACACACTGATACATGCTAACACCAATATGCTAATGTGCTCACAATGTTAAGTGAGGGAAGCCTGCAATATTTAGCAGATATAATGTTTACCACACTTACAATCAGTTAAGTATGTCAGCATGCTAACCTTTTCTAATTAGCTGTAAAATTAATTACATTAAATAAATACATATTCAGAGCTACTAAAATGTAGTTACATGTGTTAATCTTTGCCTTGTTTTTAAAATCCTAAACAGTATTTTTCTGTTTCGTGTTGCATGGCAGTTGTTAGCTGATCACTGTGCTGCACTGTCTGATAAGTGCATGTGCATGTGTTGATTGTGATTGCTCATGTTATTGAAATTTTCATTCATCTTTTTAATTTCAATCCCCAAAACCCATCAGTGGGTTTAAAAGGCACATTTTCATTAAAAAGGGAAAAAAAAGATTTTAGCAGATTTTCAACTTTCAATGGCACCCCTGTAACATATCATGTGTGAAGTACACTTCTGTCATGAAAATTAACCAAATCTAAGCTTAGAATTGTGATATTTCTGCAACATCACTTCATTCTACATGTTTTATTTAAAACCTTGTCATAAAAAATAAACCATCTGCGCTATTGCAAAACAAAATCTGCACTCATTGGCACAACTGAGAAGTCATCACTGAGTCAGCTGTGACCAACAGTCAGGTGACAAAAGTTCTGAGTTCTCAGCTGAACTGCAGGCTGTGTTACGACAGAGCAGAAAGGAGATAACAAGAGAGACTGAGAGGAAAATAAAACATACTGGATCAATAAAATAAATGCAGCCTGTCTCAAAAACAGTACACAGAGGAGCAAGTTGTTGGAAGATACATTTAGCATGGTGAAACATGTTTCTACAGATAATGTGCAGAGTAATGAGAAACGTTCTGTAGAGCTTGTAAAACATATAAACAGAAAAAATTTGTATAGCATGTAGAGTCGCTATTTTCTTCCAGTGTTGGTAACATGAAAAAAAGTTGGACATATTGATTCCAGGTTTTTTCAATTTTAAGTTTTTTCCAAGGGAGGCAGCCAATGAGGTAGCTATGTTTCTGTGACATTATACCAACATGTTGGCATTGCTAGTTGATTTACAAAAAGTAATTTACAATGTTTACAACAAGTAAACACAATCTAGAACAGTCATAGAACAGTCATAATAACACTGCATGTTTATCACTACATTTATTATTTAATTTTAATTTTAATTTTGAACACACTTTCTAACAAAACACCATCATCCCTCAAACCCAGAACTTACACCGCTGAATAATTAGCATGCAGCTCATAAAGTTTAAACGTGTTCACACCTGGTTAAGATATTTCCCGGCGAAGAATGTCTGGTATTTCTGCTTGCTGAGGTAGACAGGGAAGGCGTTGGCCTCAGGCCCTTTCTGCCACAGAGTGCTGGAGCAGTTCCCGGTCAGAGAGTTGTTCCTAACCTCGTGGTTGTGAGGGTAGCGACCTGTCAGGATACTGGCCCTGCTGGGGCAGCACAACGGTGTGACTGTGAACTTCACAGTAGGAGGAAGCGAGAAGAGGAAGACAAGAGCAGGGGAACAGAAGGGGGATAAGAGATGATGAAAGAGGAGCGTGACAGCAGTGAGGAGGATGTGCAACTCATTCAGTATGAAACTATGTGTAGTCATAGGTGTGTGCCGTGCTGTGAAAACTATTTACTGATGTAAAAGCAGCAACACAACAAATGAAAAGCACTCTGTTTCCAGTAAAACCCATGCATTCAACATAAGACTTGCACGAGTAGTATTTTTGTAATTTAGTATACAGTTTAACATTATGGTCAGGCCCAACCAAAGACATATAACATACATTGTCTATAAAAAGCATTCACCCCCAGAGGTGGGTGGGTTGTCCAGGGAAGTTTTGGAGGAAACCCTGATACAGTCTTTAAAAGAACTGCGACTTGGGAGAAGATTTGGTTTAAAGCAGGACAATGGCCCAAGGCACACAGCCAAAACTACACAGAAAAGGTTTAAAGACAACAAGGTGAATGTTCTGAGGTGGCTGAGTCAGAGCCCAGACCTTAATCCAATTGTGAATTTTTGGCTGAGCTTAAAAAGGGCTGTTCGCTCATGGTCCCCGTGTAACTTGGCAGAGTTTGAGCAGTTTTGCAAAGAAAAATGGAATAGATTTGGAGTATCTAGATGCACAAGACTACTCGAGAACTATTCACCAGACTCAATGCTGTAATTGTGGCCAAAAGTGCCTCTACTAAATATTGACTTGAAAGGCGTATTTATGCAATCACTCATTTAATGTTTTATATTTTTAAACATTTGATATTATTCTGTAGAAGTCTGTTTTCACTTTGACATAAAAGAGTTGTTTTTTTTTTTTAATTACTATACTACAGGCCTCGCGATGATGATGATGATGAATGGAGAAGGAATAAAGAAGAGCTCTTGTTCTAATACACAAATTTAAATACATTTTTTGGACTATTCTTAAATATTTGCTATCAATTCATTGTCCAGAATTGGGTCCCGGTGACAGCAGGCTAAGCAGGTAACTGAAGACATCCCTATCCAGCCATGCTCTTCCCAGTTCCTCCTGGGGTCTTCTGAGGTGTTCCCAGGCCAGATGAGATAGGCAACAGTTCGGGTCTACCCTGGTTCTCTATCCAGGAGGTATTCTAATCAAATGTTGAACCACCTCAACGGGCTCCTTTTAAAGGAGCAGAGATTCTATTACAAGCCAGATATGTGAGCACTCCAAGGCTGAGCTGAAGAAGAAATTCATCTTTGCAAATTCAGCAGATATTTAAACTGTAAATGACACATCTGACCAAAAAATTTGCTGTTTTGGCCCAACTACTGACATGAAAATGGGTCTCATCTGACATTTCTGTTTTTGTAAGAGGTCACAAGCCTTTAAGGTTGGGATCATCTAGTTCAATCCTTCACAGTACAGTGTATTTTATAAACTTATTGGATAATTCTGTGTTTAATGTAAAATCTTAAGCATTAAGTAAATACAGCTGTCAGATAAACATAGTGGAGGATAAAGTATAATATTTCCCTCTAAACTGTGTTAGACTGAAGCAGAAAGCAGAAAAAACTAGTGATAACTTTCCACTGGTTAAAAATACTCACAGCGTTCAGAAATGTTGCTCCTGCAGCTCCTATTAAAGCTTTTGTTTTCTTCATCGGCGTCTGCAGAACAGAAACAAGAACAGACATACAGGTGAAGTGACCCCTTCCCTGACATGCAAACAAGCTAAGAAGTCAACAACAGTACACGTATTTACTGTGTTTGATGAATAACAGATACTGAGAGCCAAGAGTCCAAAGCATTATGTCACGGTTAGCTGACGATGAACTCTCTTACATGTGATAGTTTACAGGACTTCTAAAGTTTTTGACTGTTGGTTAAACAAAAGAAGCAATCAGAAGATGCAATGTTGCATTCTGGAAAATTGTGATGGGCATTAACTTAAGGGTTTCTGAAATTAGATCCAACCCTAGTTTGGTTGTTAAATAATCAAAATGCGCGAAATGACAGGTTGATAATCAAACACTTCAAAATTTACTAATCCGAGCAAGCAAAGATAATTAGAAAATGTTCATGTCTGAAAAGTATCACCTATATTGGTCAGAAAATGGTTAAAAAAAATAATAAAATCTATAAATATATATATATATATATATATTACTTATTATTATTATTATTATTATTATTATTATTAACAACAACAATAATAATAATAATAACAATTCCAAGAGCTAAAACTACTGACTTCGAACTTCTGTTTATTATAATATAAGACAAAAAAGTGGAAGGAAATCTTTACATTTTAACAGCTAAAACATAAAAACTTTGAAGGATTTTTGCTTGATAAATGATTAAAATTTTAATTACAATTATTATTAAAATTATGTAGTATTATGTGTTGTATTCTTCATTTAATTCATTTAATTAGTCATGCTAGCAGCATGTTTATCACCTTTGTCCAAACTGAAATATCTCACCAGCACTTCAATGGACTGTTCATACATTCATGCTCTATCATGCAATAGAAACAGAGTTAGCGAATAAATGAATGACATATACAAAGCAAGTTTTCTGAGTTTATTGTGAATTAGCACCACCAGCTGTTTATCTTGATAAGCCAACTCTTTGACAATTAAAGCGAAGGAGTCAGGGGCAATAATCTATGTTTTCTTTGACTGATTTGTTCAAAATTTGGTCAATATTTTTGCTGGTTTTGAATGAAAAACAACCTACTCGAGGTTCCTAAATTATGTTCATAATAATGGGTTTGAGTAAAATATTATGGCAGTTATTGGTTATTATTTAATTATGGTTTCCCATGACATTTGTTTTAATCAGTCACATTCCCCTAAGGATGGATTCGAGTTAGTTTGTGGGTTATCTACCTACCAATCCTAGCTGTACTTATGGTTAGTGCTACTTAGAACTTTTCATGCTAACATGCTAAACCAATGCAAACAACATCAACTTTCTACCATTAGCATATTTTTCAAAACTAATGGCATTCCCACAAGTCCCAACTTGTCTTTGTGTTTAATGCTAACTAGCAAATGTTAGCATGCCTAAACACTACATGAAGGTAGCCAATGCTGTAAGGAGGATACATATTAGCATATCTGTGAGAAACATTTTAACGGTTACGATTATAAAATATTAAAACATTGATTGATTTCATGAATAGGCAATCAAGGCAATCACTTAATTATGTTATCTGTAAAATTAACAAGTTAATCTTTTAATTTTTTTTTTTTTTAAATGTAGGGCTGCAGGGTGGCGCAGTTGGTAGCACTGTTGCCTCGAAGGTTGCCGGTTCGCGTCCCAGTGGGGGCACCGGAATCTTTCTGCGTGGAGTTTGCATGTTCTCCCCGTGCAGCGTGGGTTTTCTCTGGGTTGTCCGGCTTCCTCCCACACGGTTCAAAAACATGTTGAGGTTAATTGGTGATTCTAAATTGTCCGTAGGTGTGAATGTGAGTGTGCTTGGTTGTCTGTCTCTAAGTGTGGCCCTGTGATAGACTGGTGACCTGTCCAGGGTGTCCCCTGCCTTCGCCCTAAGTCAGCTGGGATAGACTCCAGCCCCCCCGCGACCCTAGTGAGGATTAAGAGGTGTATAGATAATGGATGGATGGATAGATAATGGATGGATTTTTTAATTTTAGCATGCTGATGTGCGCAATTAGCTTAAAGATTAGCCACACAGGGGTGCTACTGTGGCTATAGACTTGTTTTCTGTATTTTATGTCTATATTTTCTATTTAATACATTTTATGTACTTTATATCTATTAATATTTTCTACCTGATGTCTTTGTTATCTAATTCTATTTTCTATTTATTTCTATGTAAGCATTTATATGTTCAATCTAGCACTTGTTATGTAATTGAGGAGCGGAAATTGTCTTGTACAGTCCAATATGGCAATTATATTTTCGTATTTTATGGATAATGAAGTGAAAAAAAAACAAAAAAAACACGAGTTTTGATAAAGTGACTTTAAACTCAGCATTAGCAGCTCGTACTGTGGGATGCTGTAAACTGCAGGAGCGTTAAAGTCAAATTAAAAAGTGCGGTTATATCACCATAAAGTCAAAAGCAGATTTTGGATCGATACAGTTGATTGATCACGTGTTCCCCGGGTGCTCACTCACCATCCCCCCCAGCTGAACGTCCTGGTCGTCGGCCAGCACCAGGATGATGTTGCTCGGCTTGGAGCTCTCTGCACACCTGACGCAGCAGGTGAGCAGCAGCAGCGGGAGGAGAGCAAGGCCAGCCGGCAGTGCTGTCCGCCGGCCGGTCGGTGCTCCACCTTCGCTCCTCAGACCTGCCATCGGAACCACTAAAACCAGCACAGCGCCGGTCCTGCTGCTACACGACCGCCGCGGTAGTTGAGATCAAGTCCGGTTTCGATTCCTGCTCAGGGCGAAGACGTGCTGCTTTGACGGGGAAAGAGCGAAGTCACACACCGCGGAGCAAAGTTTGAGGAAGTGCAGTTTAGAGTTGGAGGTCATATGATCAGACTGAGTGGGAGGAGAGAGAACCGAGAACACCGTGTACAACACAACCGACACACAACAGCTGACATACAACATTTGGGCTACTAATTACCGAGATAATCTTAGATTGAAGACAAATAAACTCACTATTTATACTTTGCTCCTGTTTGCTTGTTAATTTAAGAACAACAATATAGATATATTAGATTATAGCAAAGTAGATGATCAGATTATATTACCTTTGTTATGTATAACTGTTATTCTGTCCACTATCTATACACTGCTTAATCCTCATTAGGGTCTGGAGCCTAACCCACTCAGGGCGAAGGCAGGGGACACCCTGGACAGGTCGACAGTCTATTGCAGGGCTACACTTAGAGACAGACAACCAAGCACACTCACATTCACACCTACGAACAATTTAGAATCACCAATTAACTTCAACATGTTTTTGGACTTGTGGGAGGAAGCTGGAGAACCCAGAGAGAACCCATGCTGCACGGGGAGAACATGTCCTCACCGGGACGTTAACCGGTGACCTTCTTGCTGTGAGGCAACAGTGCTACCAACTGCGCCACCTTACAGCCCAACCTTAGACCTGTTTTATTAAATTACTGCATTGTTTTAATTAGGTTGTGTTACATCATTTTATATCCAGTATGGAGAGACATAAATGTAATATAATATGAGCAAAATTGCTGAAGTACTGCTATCAAGTTTTTTTTCTCTCCTTATTGCTTTTAACATTGAAACCTGATCAGTTTAATTTTGGCTTTTTGGACAAGAATTCGTAAAAAAAAATTAAATAAATAAATAAATTCTGTCAAAGTGAAAACAGATTTTTTCAAAGTAATTAAAAATAGACTTTTTTTTAATTATTATTTATTTTTCCTTTACTTAACCAGGTGGGTTAATTGAGAACAAATTCTTACTTACAATAAGGACCTGGCCAAGAGGCAGCACAGAACAGAGAATACAATAAAGGGAATACATCCATTAAAAAAAACAATACACAAACAAAACATAGCAATAAAAGGCTTGAAGATAAAATACACTAAAAGTAGGTACATGACTCAGTAAATAGTGCCTTCACCATATTTTTAAAAGATGATAAAGGTATAAAGAAGCTAAGTTTGAATGTTTTTTGTACCTCGTTCCAGTCGAGAGCTATAGAAAACTGAAATGAATAGCGGCCAAAGATAGTGTGGGCTTTGGGGATGAGGAGGTGGATGAGGTTGCTGTTGCGAAGTGAGCGGCTGATGTGAGGGGTGATGAGTAGTGAACGTAGACATGCCGGAGTTTGACTTGTAATAGTTTTATAAATGAACAAATACCAATGAGTTTGCCTGTGGGCAGTGTGGTAGATAGTGTCCAGTTTATGGAGGAGGGATTTGGTTGTGGATCTATAAAGTATGTTGCTGTAGTCAATCATTGAAAGTACTGTCATTTTGACCAAGAGGTGGTTCGCGAGTGCAATCTTGTTCTTGATCATTAGACCTATTTTATCAATAAGGCTAAACTCACATATATCATGAATTTTTACCTGATGAAGTTTTCTCCAGGCGCGATGTCTTCAAAAAAAAATTTCCAGTCTAAGTTATTTTTATTGTTTCATACAAGAAAATACCCTTCATTAAACATTTAAAAGTCTCTCCAAAATAGACATGATCATCTCATGGAAAATTGAAAGAATTACGATATTTTTGAGATAATAACTTTCCATTATTTTACAGTATTTTTAGTGCACAAGCTGTTAAAAATGTCCTTTCTTTTTTCAGTTATATATTTTATTCTATTTTTTGCAGTGTAGATAACATCAACTTCTTGTATTTATTGCTTGCCTTCCAACCAATAAATGCTTTTTATTTATTATTTTTATTTTTTTGTTAAAATACAGTTGTTTTTTTATTGTGCACATATCACCTTGATTTCTTGTATTTGCTGAATACTTTCCAGTGTGGTTTAGATTTTTTTTTTCTCTTGTACTTATTAAAAACTTGTAGTTTTGCAGCTCCATCCCCAGACTCGTTATTCTTGTTTACCACTTACACCAATATCAGTTCCACCAGTACGAGGGAAGTGCTCAGAGAGTTGATTGATCAGAAATGTAAAGCCAGTCTTTGTTATCAATAAATCACTTCTTCACACATGACACAGAGGAAAAGTGTTTTTTGTGAATTTCAGCGCACACCATGTTCTACATTACAGATCTGCACAGATTTAAAACTTGTCAGTTTGACTTCTCAGTGAAAAGATCATTCAGTGACATCACATGATGCATTTGAAATCTAAAGTTTTTATTTGGAGGCAGGAATATCATATTTTTTGGATCATGTTATGTTATACACCACATACTCATTATGTAGTGCATTTACAAGTATTCAAGTACTACATTGTACATTTGTCCTGCTTCCAATACTCCAACTTTAAGAACTAACTTTTTACTTGCTGCTTGATGTTTCCACCTACTGACAGGTGCCACTGTAACCGGATAAAGTCAGAGACCTAGATAAGGCTGGCCAATCAGCAACCATCTTGGTAGCACCTTAGTGTATTTATTTCTGGCTGATAACACCAGGCTCCTGTTGAAATGAATGGGAAAATATCTTAGAAAGTTTGGTGACTTTGACCAAAGCAGAGACATCTACTAAGCAGACATCTACAGTTTTAACATGACTGATTATATATTTTTCGAACTAATCAAAATTATATGTAATCTGATTCATTATAATACAAAATATTTTGAATAAAAGAAGGATTCATTGTTTATACACTCTAAAAAGTAATTCAGTGGCTTTGCATATATCACAGTAAGAAACTGCCTTAACAAAATCTCTGAAACACATTCACTTGATGGGCTGCACGGTGACTCGGTGGTTAGCATCGATGCCTCGCAGCAAGAAGGTCGCTGGTTCGTGTCCCAGTGAAGACACCTGGGATCTTTCTGCGTGGAGTTTGCCTGTTCTCCCCATTCAGCATGGGTTCTCTTCCTCCCACACGGTCCAAAAACATGTTGAGGTTAATTAAATAATAAAATCTAAATTGTCCGTAGGTGTGAATGTGAGTGTGCTTGGTTGTCTGTCTCTAAGTGCAGCCCTGCAATAGACTGTCGACCTGTCCAGGGTGTCCCCTGCCTTCGCCTAAGTCAGCTGGGATGGCTATTCAATTAATTGTTTGAGTTGTTGGATATATCAAATGAAATGCCTAAAAATTTAAGTTAATTTTATCTTAACTTTACATTTATTTACATTACATTTATTATTTAAGTTTATTTCATTGAAATGAATTAGCGTTTGTTTAACAAATTTTATTTTTGAAATATCCTGTATTTGTTTGGTAAATTTCATTCAGAATATTTAGAAAGGACCAATAATACTGATCGGTGTCTGTAACTGCAGTTATTAGTAATTTAAAATCTATTTTCTTAGTCTTCTTAAGTGACTTATTAGTTTGAATAAGTTTCACTTGAATGTGAATGTGCAAAGAGTGCAGCCTCATAGGAAATCTGACTTTGTGGGAGTCCTGCTGGAAAGCTCCCTTCTGTGTGACATAGAGCAACTGGAAGACCAGCTCTCAAAGCATGGTAAGTAACAAGCTAGCAAGCCTTATTATTGTTATCAAGTTATTAATTACTCTGTCTTCTTGCATACATAACTTAAAGGTATATTTTCCCGAATGCTGTTGCAGCCTGCTGGTGTATGTTAGCTAGTTAGCTAGCTTAACTTCTTCTGCACAATCAACGTGACTGTATGTAGTCTATTTTTTCTAACCACCACACTGTTTGGGTAATGTTCAGTTAATAGGACTGTGCAAAATGATTTGCAAAACGTGCTGCTGATTATTTTTAGAACAAAATGCGCAACGAGCTTTCCCGCCGAAAGTGATGGGGGTGGGGGAGTGTTCTTTGTTACCTCCGCCCGTTTATCTGTTTGTTTGTTTTTTGGCAAGATAACTCGAAAACGTATGAACAGTTTTTCATGAAATTTTCAAGAAATGTTGATAATGGCACAATGAACAGATGATTAAATTTTGGTGATGTTCTGGCTTGCCGTCTGGTTATTTTCTCATAAAACAGTATATGTTGTTAAGTGTCACAGTGGCGGTTCTAGACAGTATTACCTGCAGGGACCAGGCTGGGGCCTATTGTTTTGCTATGGGGCCAGTTAAGTCAGACTCTGCATTCTATGTATATACAAAGTTTTTGTAGTCACGGTATTGTTATGGGCATTAAACACCAAAATACAATGTTCAAAATCATATTGCATTTTATTTTAATAGATGTTTCTTGCAAACAGATAAATAATGCACGTTGAAGGATTTAACACTGTGGCTCAACACATTTAAACACAATTTGTCAACACGTTATTTGTTGTCTTTAGTCATGCAATTTCTATCAACTTTACACAACAGGTTTTCTTGTGTCATGCAAACATTTAAAGAAATGTACATTCAATCTGGACTGAAAAAAAGACTGAAAACTGCTCAGCATGTTATTTCTGCTGCACTTTAGTTTGTTACATCAAGTGAATTCTGCGTTTTTTTATGATTTCTTGCAAAGAGGTCAACAAATGCATCAAGATTCAAAGATTTTGTCCTTCTTGACTCAATACTTAAAACACCTAAATTACTCAGTCTGTCATCTGCTATGGTGGACCTGAGGTAAGTTTTCACCAGCTTCAGAGTTGAAAAACTTTGTTCACAAGAAGCAATACTAACTGGAATTGAAACTGCTATTTTGCACAGTTTGAAGAGCTAAAAAAACTTATTTAAAAGGCTCAATGAATGATGTAAGCTCTACAATATTAGAGGGTCTCTGCATACCATCATGTATTTACCTGCGTAAAATTCGTCTGAACTGATGTAGTTCATGCCCCAAATCCTCAATGCTTGAATCATACATTCCAGCAAATGCAAACAGAACCTCCTTTTGGAGAAATGCATTACTGTTGGAGTTTAGTGTTTGGATGCCATTCATAATGGTACAATTTCTGCTCGAGAACCTTCTGTTAAGTGCATTGAGCAGCTGATCAAAGACTGGGTAGAAAAGGCTTTGCGAAAATGTTCTTTACCTTGTACTGACTCTGACCCTGTCTGACCCACAGTAGTGAGTACACAGTACCCACTAAGTTGAGAGCTTAGCGTTATTAAACGTTTTGCTGCTGGCTGCACTGCAGTAGCACATTGCTCAGAGTGTTGAGCACTTCATCCCACAGGTTATCAAAAATGACTCACCCCTGTAGTCATTCAAAGTTTGAATTAAGGCCTTAACTAAAACCTTTGAGAAGTCAAGGGATGGAGACTGCAGCATATCTGACAGAAACTTTGTTTCTCCTTAAACTTTGCAGAATGTAACAAGACAGACAATGAATTTTAAGTTTAGCAGTGCAAGAAGACCTTGTGCCTCAACAGATCTGTCGCCAGTGGATTCTTGGGCTACCTCTTACAGGACTTGCTTAATGGCAGGCAATCTATCCCTGATATTACGTAGAGCCAAATACCGACATGCTCAGCGAGTGTCACTGAGTTTGTGAAGCTCTCGAGGTGCACCTTTATACATCTCTTTTTGTACATTAAGCCATTTTTGATGACATATGATCCAGATGTGAACACAAACAGTCGTTCCAGTAAAGAGAAAAACTGCTCTGCCTCAGGAACAGCTTCAAAAGTGTCTACTAAAACCAAATAAAGACAAAGTGCACTGTAGTGGATATAAAAAGCATACTTTGGTTGCTTTTTAATGCATGCCTGGACACTTGAATGCTTGCTACTCATGACAGAAGCACCATCATAAGCTTGGCCCACAAGGTTGTCTCTGTATTGAAGACCATGACTTTCTAATATATGTGTCATTTTTTCCGTTAACCCTGCTGCATCTAATCGATCAGATGATTCAAAGTGGAGGAAACTCTCGTGAACAACTCCACTGAAATAGTACCTCAGGACCAGAGACATTTGCTCTTTCTTCGTCACATCTTTTGTTTCATCAGCCAAAATACCAAAGACCTCACTGTCCTTAACTTCTCTTATAATTTCTGTTTGAACCATGTCTGCCAAACAACTCAAAACCTCATTCTAAATTACTTTACTTGTCTATTTGCCATTATTGATGGCAGTCAACCTTTTTTTCACAACTTTATCATGATTGGCTATTGTTTCTATGATTGCAAGGAAATTCCCTTTATTATCTGAATTTGCAGATTTGTCGTGTCCTCTTTGTGCTATGTTTTGTGTGGCTGTAAGTAGCAGCACTTCACTAATTGTTTTAATATAGTCCCAATTTTCTTGAACTTGTTGTGTTCCTTGATTAGGGAATTTAACAGCCTTCTGATAGCCCATCCATGCAGTCATGGCTTGCTTGTGTCTGTCAGGCTTAACATGAACTGAAAATCCTGCATCTTTGTAAGCCGCCTTCTTCCAGTTGTTGAATCCAGAAGGAGAGTCAAATACTGTCTCTGAGCTGCTGTTGGGGGAATAAAATGTCTGCAGGCGTAGCAATATGCAGAGTTTGAATTTTCGGAATGCTCAAGCCAGGGGTGGATATTGTACCAGGCTGCTTTAAAACTCCTTTTCCAGCTCCCCATCTGAGTCCTTGGGTACAATTTCAAAATTGGCTGCACTGGTGAGTCATTTCAACATTTGCTGATATCTGTGGAATAAAAACCAAGACAAAAAAATAAAAATCTATATCAAAATATCTGTGCCTAAAGATCAAAGGCACATTCAATAGAATTGTGATTAATTTCAATCATAAACATGAACTGATAAGTGGACTGGTTTATATTCAGGCAGAGATTAATTCTCCATCAGACAAACATGATGGTGCAGCATCTGTGGAAGCACACAGCTCCTGCCCTGTTTCTATCTCACTCTCTGCTGCCATGCCACTCTCTCTGTCAGGATCTTGTGTCTGTGCTCCTGTACCCTGACCCTCACCAGTCTCTCCATCAGCTTCCTGCTCATTCTGTCCCTCTTCACCATCTCTGCTTCTCTGCACACTCACATGATTTTTAGCAGCAACTTTGTTACTTTGAAAGTAGTGAGTGATATCCTTTTTCTCTTCACGCTGGACAATACGTAAAGTGAAAACAAGTGTCACGCCGTCCCATTTTCTAACATTATACATTGCAATCGATAGATTTTTCAATAAACAGCTATCTGAACTACACAAGTGAAGCAGAACACTAAGACAACGGAATTTTAAAACAATTTTACCTACCTTTTTTCTTATTTGTCGCAAACGTCTCTGAAGTTGTCTTGAAGTTGCCTTCTGCCAGCTGCGTTGCATTGTCAGAGAATCCCGCTCAGCACATCCAAAAGATACGGTCCGTCTCCTTAATAAGTGTCTTTTTTTTTTTTGTTCTTCTTAGCTGTGATTTCCTTCAGACTAAACTCTGAGTTTATGATCATTCTACAACTTTCTGTTTTCCAAATGAATGATACCTCTATCAATATGATTATGACATAAGTCATTTTCAGAAAGTCTAATTGTTGGAACGTTGGGGGCACAGTTGTCTTGTAAAGCATGGTCAATATTTTTTGCTCTATTTTACAGCACCAACACTGCTAAGGGAGAGAATTTGGAAAAAGACAAACAAAGAGGAAGTAAATGTCATTATTGTGTTCAAAGACCACTAAATGTGCAAACATTGAAACAAGGATTCCAATGTGTTGCATAATTGAGTTTATACAAGTTCAGGAAAGCAGCGAGTAAGCAAAATTGAGTTGCGCCTTTTGATTTTGACCATGTTTGACTGCATTAGTCAGACAGCATTAATTGGAAACACAAATGTAAAGATGAAATGCCTAGGATATAATAGTATGAATTGTTACCAACTATGTCCACCATTGGGTCATTGGTACGATGTTATGAACACCTCTGTAGGGCTACAGATAACTGTTTTTATAGTTGATTAATCTATCGATTGATGAAACGATTAATCAGCTTATCGGATTCTATGTACATCGCAAATATATATAATCGGCTTTTAAATTCAGCTTGATGCTGTTTTAGGAGCATTTGGTGTGTCATTTGACTTGTTTGTTTGGTGAGATTTAGATATGGTTAAGCAAGGTTGCACATATCATTTATTTTCTCAGCTGAGGATCTATATATCCACTGCAATTGTAGTCAGCTAACCAGAACTGACTGCGGTCTTGAAAATGTGGTCAGGCCTGCAGCTACTACTGCTTGTTTTCTGATGTGTTTGTGTCTGCTACCGCCATTTTGAAATGGTCACTCTTACACATGCACAACATCAGAGATAGTAAGGAGGTGAGATGGTTCACTCCTTAATTACTTCCATCATCATCTCTGGAAAGACTATGTTTAGTTCAGACAAACTAGTACAAATATGTGGGTAAATTATTTAGTTGTAACCAACTAATAACTAACTGACAATTAAATATGTAGGCAGCTAATTTTCTCATTGATTATTGTCAACTATGTTTATTAGTTGTTGCACCTTTGAACTTCTGTATCGTCTACTGCCATTGCAAATGTGAGCTATGAATGCAGCAACTCTCTGGGTGTTAGAGGAAGAAGCCTATTGATGTTGTTGGCCACATGATTTCTTCTGGTGTCATCATCAAGCCACTTTGCGAATACAGCAACTTTTTACTGTGCGATTAAGCATGCTTCCCTACCCACCAAACACCCGACGTAATTTAGACGTTGTTTTTTGGGCTAAATCTGGTCGGTTCGTCATAGCCTAGATTTAGCCCAAATATAGTCGTTGAAATTGGGTTGTGTTTGGACCGTCCAATTTGTCCAGATTTAGCCCAAATATAGTTGTTGAAATTGGGTTGTGTTTGGACCATCCACTGTGGTCCTAATTTAGTCCAAATATAGTCTTTGAAATTGTGTTGTTTTTGGACCATCCACTGTGGTCCTAATTTAGTCCAAATATAGTCGTTGAAATTGGGTTGCGTTTAGACTGTGTACTGTGGTCCTAATTTAGTCCAAATATAGTTGCTGAAACTGGATTGTTTTTGGACTGTCCAACATTTACAGGGATTTACATTTTTGGGAAGGTAAAATATTTGTTTACTTTTAAAATCCATCCATCCATTATCTATACACCACTTAATCCTCACTGGGGTCGTGGGGGGCTGGAGCCTATCCCAGCTGACTTAGGGCGAAGGCAGGGGACACCCTGGACAGGTCGCCAGTCTATCGCAGGGCCACACTTAGAGACAGACAACCAAGCACACTCACGGACAATTTAGAATCACCAATTAACCTCAGCATGTTTTTGGACTGTGTGGGAGGAAGCCGGAGAACCCGGAGAGAACCCACGCTGCACGGGGAGAACATGCAAACTCCCAGCAGAAAGATCCTGGTGCCCCACCGGTACGTGAACCGGCAACCTTCTTGCTGTGAGGCAACAGTGCTAACCAACTGCGCCACCCTGCAACCTTACTTTTAAAATGTAGTATGAAAATGGCCATTGTAGTGTGTTTATTTACTTATTTTCAACTTGGATCATTTTTGTTTTATTTTTGGCATGATCGCGATTTTAAAACTCTAGGTTAGCATCTCCTTTTGTTCATGTTTTCACAGCACTTATTTAGTCTTTAGTTGCCTCACTTTTTATGTTTATTGTCAAATCTTAACTTTTGCGAATAAATAACTTCGAAACACCTCACAACATTGGGGGTTTCTATGCTACTTCCCTTTGCCCTAGCGAGCTGGTTGTAACATTTGTGTCTAAAAGGTTAAATAAAATGTCAAAAAACACTTAAAGTAGAGTCAATAATAAAAAAATTAAATCACTATCAGTGTTTCAGCAGCGGGGGCAGGCTGTCCGGGAGCCGTGGCAGCATAAACAAATGACATTTGACTGAAGACTTTACTTTTACAATCTGTTTATTGAATCGCCAGTTGAAAATGGCTTTTTAAAGGCTGAATGTAAAAATTAAAAGAATAAAACAAAATTAAATAAATGAAAAATAATAATTTCTTGGTGTGGCTGTAGAATCAGTGGCAAAGTTTGCACCCAGGCTCAAAACAATAAATTTTTCTGGGTTTTTTGTAGAAGAGCTCTGATGCTCTGTTGTAGGGAAATTCTCAGAGAGGCTCAGCAGCATTCATGCTGTAAGCTGATCCCCTGCAGCCTGTGTCATGAACTCACTAACAGAATGGGTGGACACAAATGCTTGACTCAGTAGGTTCAGGCAAAAGACAGGTTTAATGGCAGTCAGGGTTCTGGTAGATCCATGGCGACCATATGATCCTTGACATTTCCTGACAGTCCCTGAAAAAAAACGTATCAGCTAGTGCAGTAGCATTCCACTCGCTCTCTGCAGCCAGTGTACGAAAATCAATGGCATAGTCTGTGACCTTGCGTCTACCTTGCTTCAGCTTGACCAGAGCCCAGGCAGCCTCTTGACCTGGCGACCTGTGCTGAAAGATCTGTGTGAGTGCCTTGGTGAATCCTGCGAGCGTGACACATGACGAGGCGCGCGGGCTCCACTCAACAGTGGCCCAGGCTTCAGCACGCCCAGACAGATAATAATGAAGGCGATCTTAGAGCGCTCAGTCGGAAAGGCCGAAGCCTGCAGTTCAAAATGAAGCTCGCATTGAGTCAGGAAGGGCTTGATATCACCAGAGTCTCCTGAAAATCTCTGGGGCCGAGATAGCTGCACGCATGACGTGGTAGCGGCATCAGGCAGTGGAGCAGCGGCTTGGGGGGCGGGGGGTCTGCTGCTGTCCACTGATCCACCCTGTCCAATGTTACTTTTCTTGTATGATTACATAAAACATTAAAACATAAAACATTCATTTTAGATCATTTACACTCACATCACATCTGATTATAGTGTGATCACTATTTTTCACCTGACCATCATCATTTATGAGTCAGTGAAAGGCTGATGATACCTGGTTGGCATCATCTTCATCAGGTGTCTTTGTCTTCTTAGAGAAGTATTTGAACAAGCTCCTCTGAAGATGCAGTCAGTAGTTCCATCATGGCATGTAGATGTTAGTTTAATGCTATCAATTAGTTTACTCACGTTACACTGAGTTGGCACTGGGCCCAATTAACTTAAGCTACCAATAGGTTACATAGCGTTAGCTGGGCATCAATATTTTGCGAATGTCTATTTGACTTGTAAAATCTATTATGAGCTATCTTAAGCTAATAAGTGTACCTTTTCTCCGGTAAGTCTTGCCCTATTCTCCAAGATGACCCTCCTCTGACCTTGAACATGTCACTCTCCGAGTTCTTGCAAGTAATTAACGTCACATTAATCCCCCAAAAAGTTGAAACTGAGCAAGATAGTTACCGGTCGTTTACCTTAGTAGTCGCGAGTTCCCGACCCAGTGCAGGACTCTGCTGTGAAGGTGGAGACATGCGGCGTTGGTATATTTGCGACAATTAAAGTAAATAAATAAATTTTAAAAATTGAAGGAGCAGCGGCTGGGATTTAGGAATGGTGCCTGCCACTCCTAAATGTTACGGTCAGTTCACAGACCCACGTGCAGAGCAACAAGACACAGGAGACAGATGTAAAAAATAAAATTTATTTTACAGCAGGGCAAGGAAAACACTAACCAAGCTGGTGGTATAACCACAGACGGAAAGCTAAACTAAAACTAACGATAACGAAAGACGCACTCGAAAACCGAAACTAAAACTACACGAGTGGTAATGCAGGCATGAAGCTAACTCAAACAAAAGGCTGTAGAAGGTTACACAAACGAAAGCTAAGCTAGAACGGGGAACAAAAAGAGACTAAGCAAATAAGGCTCAGTGAGACACTAGGATCGAGAAGCTACACTAACGCACACGAAGCTATAACCAGGAATAATAAACTACACTAAAGAAACAAGGGATCACGAAGCTACACGAAGCTATAACAGAAATGATAAACTACACTATAGAAACAAGGGATCACGAAGCTACACTAAAGCACACGAAACTAGCGGCTAACAACTTAGCTGAGGGAAACCGGAGAGGGAGCGGGGAAGGCAGGCG